ACATATGCAGGCGTATTCATGTGTATGGCCCTACTTGTCAGTGAAGGAAGGCTCTAGTGTGATGTATTTTTGCACAAAACTACCTCACTTTTTTATTCACAGAAAAACCAGATAGCGGTCCTGAATATATATGCAAAAAAACTTAACACCCAAGAAGAGGGTCCTTCAAAATTCGTACCCTCTACCATCTACCACCTACTGTAACATGAGACGCTCCAGCTACCTCAACAATTCAGTGGAGGATGTATACTACGAACAACTTACATATACTCCTTCCGTTCCTAAATACTCTCTCCGTCCCGAAAAACATGTCACAGGCTCAGTTCATTTGTAATTTTGCTAAAAAGCCCTCGCAAATTTAAAACCATCTCAAATAAGTCCCTCCATCCCCGTCTTCTTCCTCCGCCTTCCTCCGCCGTCGACAGGGGCTGGCGCCGCCCAGCTGCGCGATTCGCCGCCCACCAGGAAGTCCTGCGTCGCCGTCGCCACGTACCCGCGCCCGCCTCAAGCTCCAGCGCGTCCTCCTTGAGCTCCCGCGGATCCTCCTCGAGCTCCCGCGCGTGCGCTGCCGCAGTTCCTCCCGGCCGCGATCCCCTTCGGGCGTCGCCAGAAATTGGACCAGGAGCTCGCGTTCTTCCTCCTCGATCTCCCGCGCGAGCCCTTGCTGCTCCTTCTCCCCTGCCCGCGCGCCCGTGCGGCTGCTTCTCCCCTGCCGCCGGTGGAGCTCGTGTGCCCCTGCTGCTGCTCGTCTTCCCCTGCTACTGCTGCTCGTCTGCCCCGACGCTGCCCGTGCAGCAGGGCTGTTGCCGCTGCTGCTTCCCTGACGCTGCTCCATCCCCGCCCGATCGAGGTGATTTCTCCTGCCACAAGAAATAAATTGATTCCAGTGTCAAGCAAAGTGATTCCTGTACATGATTCCAGTATTTTTGGAAACAAATTGATTCCAGTGAGAAGATCAAGCAAAGTGATTCCAGAATTTTTGGAAACAAATTGATTCTAGTGTTATTAGTGAGAAATTCAAGAAAATTGATTCTAGTGAGGCGCAGGACCTGCTACTCTGCTCCCGTGAGCCTGCCCGTCGTGCTGCTACTCTGCTCCTGCTAACTGCTTGCAGTGCTGCTGCTGCTGATGCTCCATCGCCCGTGCTGCTGCTGCTGACCATCTGATGTTGATCCAAGTGACTGTGGTGCTACTGTCTTATCTCTGAAGAAGGTACTGCTACCTGAAAATTGTGTGCCTGATAGATCAAATGACTGTGTTGCTTTGCAGTCAAATTTAAAAATATCTATTACTGTAATTGTAGTAGATCAAATGATTCAAATCCAGTCACTGTTACAAGATCCTGAAAATTCAAATTCAGTCACTGTTACAACCCCAAAAAGAATTTATGGGTGCCTGATAGATTAAATTTTTAAATTGTGTGATTGATAGTGTTGGAAGCAATTGTGTGTGACTGCTGACTGCAAATTTTTTGAATGCAAATTTGTAATGCATGGAACATAAGGCACATATTCACACTAAATCAGTTTCGACAGTGTCAAAGCATACAGTAGTAGTGATAGTAATTTTGATAATTCAAGCAAATTAATTGAACCTATCTATGCTTGACATGGCACAGAAAAAATCAGTAGATGCAGAGCAATTATGATCTAAACAAACACTGTCTCTAGAACTGTTACTAGAGGAACTACTGTAAGTAGAGTAAAGTTGGTGGTGAATGAAGGGAAAAAACATGGGCCAGTTGTTAAGCCAGGTAGAACAAGATGATTTAGTGGCATTAGCACTTTAGCAGAGCACATCACAGTTCAGAGACAGAGAAGGAAAAACCTGCTCCAAAGTAGCAGAAATAAGACAAATTCATTCATGGCAGTAAAAAAGAGGTTAGGAGCAGAATCATGAGATGATAAGTAAGTAGAGTAGTTATATATGGCACTTGCTAGAGGAACTGCTACTAGCTCTGGGGCCTCTATCAGTACTAGAGGAACAAACAAGAGAATGGCTGTAGAAACTACTGTAAGTAGAGTAAAATTTAGTTAAAACTACTGTAAGTAGAGTAACTTCAGTTAAAACTACTGTAAGTAGAGTAACTTCAGTTAAAACTATTGTAAGTAGAGTAAAGTTCAGCAAAACTACTCTAACTAGAGTAAAATTCAGTAAACTGGATTGGTTTGACATGAAGGTACACTGAATGCATTTCTCTGACAAAATCCTGTTACAGAAATTGACAATATATACACATACAGAAAGTAATTTCCCATTGGAAGTCAAGAGAAGCAAGCAAGCAAGAAAGGAACAAGACATGGTCAAAATTTAGTTAAGTTTCATAAGAAATGAAATGGTGTTACAAAGGCTCCTGTCATAACATTTCTTAGTCAGTAGTTCACATTTTTGTAATGGTTGCAAGGCTCCTGCTATTCTACTCATTTTTTGTGTCTATATCCTTGTTATGGTACCATGATGTACTCATCTTTTGTCATTGCTAGCAGGAGTATGGATTTGAACATGATGCCTCAAGAGGAAGACGATGAAGGTATTAATTTGAATTTGATGCCTCAAGAGGAGGAACCTCAAGTGGCAGAGAATGTAGTTATGGATTTGAACTTGATGCCTCAAGAGGAAGATGATGAAGATATGAATTGCATGCCTCAAGAAGATGAAGGGAAAGAGGATGAAGCTCAAGAGGAAGAGGATGAAGTTATGAATTGGATACTTCAAGAGAAGAGAAGAGAATTGTCAGATAAGGAGAGGCATGGTGTTTACTTTGCCTTGCTGGTAATCGAGCTCAGAGATGGGTCTGTTCAACCAGATGACAAGCTGCTAGTCTCAAACCTGTTGGACATAAGTGTACGATCTGTTGAAAGAATCTGGGAACAGGCTAAAAAGCAAATTGCCGATGGCAAAGAAGTAGATGTCTCAAGCAAGAAGCCAGGAAGATCCGGCCGAAAGAGAAAGGAGCTAGATCTAGAGAGGACCTCAACAATCCCACTGAATAAAAGAAGAACAATTCAATCTCTGGCACGGTCTCTAGGTGTGGCCCGATCGACCCTACATAAGAGGTTCTAGTTGAATGAGCTCAACCGCATCACAAGCACCGTGAAGCCTCGCCTCAAGCTAGAGAACAAGCTTGCGAGATTGAAATTTTGTATGTCCATGGTCGATGACAATTCGATCTCAACTTCTCGGGCTATGTTAAAATCAATGACGAATATGGTTCACATCGATGAGAAGTGGTTTGACATGACGAGAGTGAAGAATAGTTACTATGTACTTCCAGGAGAACCTGAACCGAAGCGCACCGTGTGAAACACTCACAACATTGGGAAGGTGATGTTCCTAACAGTTGTTGCCAAGCCTCGATATAACAATGAGGGGGAGCTAACATTCGATGGGAAGATCGGCATTTGGGCATTCGTCGAAGAGACTAAGGCGAAGCGGACAAGTCAAAACAGAACAAAGGGAACAAAAGTGTTGACATCAGTGAAAGTAACCAGGCCTGTGTGCAGAGATTATCTAATCAATAAGGTTATCCCGGCAATTCAGGATAAATGGCCTGACGATGATGAGGGAGCGACAATATTCATCCAACAGGATAACGCAAAGCCTCGTGTCCTTCCCAATGATGTAGCTTTTCGAGAACCTGTGGAACAAACTGATCTTGACATCTGATTGCTACAACAGCCCCCAAATAGCCCTGAGTTAAATTGTTTGGACCTCTGCTTCCATAACTTTCTCCAGTCTCTAACCGACTGCAGGTCACCTACAAACATCCAGGAACTGGTACAGGGTGTGGAAGAGGAATTCGAGAACTACGATCCCGACAAGTTGCACAGAAGCTTTATCACATTAGAAGCAGTTATGTTTGAAGTTATGAAAGCCAAAGGAGGAAATTAATATAAGTTGCCCCACTTGCACAAGGATCGCGTTCAGAATGCTGGAATGGAAATAACCGGTGTATATTGCGATAATCGGGTAGTTGTTGATACGAGGGCCATTATAGAAGAAATGGAAATTGCAATAGGAAAAGAAAATGAAAGGAAAGAATTAGCTAGAGAAGGGAAACGAAAGAAAAGTAAAGGGAAGGGAATGGAAGAAGTGGCCAGAGAAAGGAAAAGAATGTAGTCAAGAGGGGACAAAGAGGCCCTTATGTCATGTAGTCAGGTGCTCCTTGTGTATGTCTTGTGTAATCTTGTGTCAAGAGGGGACAAAGATGCCCTTATGTCATGTCCTTGTGTATACCTTGTCTAATACTTGTATATCAACTCCTTGTTGGAATTTATTGGAAGTATCTAGGTTATTTGGATTAATTGAATTATCTGCGTTATTTGAATTAATTTGGGTCATTTGGATTTATTTGAACATGTTCCTTGTATGGAGTTAACTGAAGACTGAACATGTTCTAAAGTTTTGGGTAAGCTGGAGCAGTACTGAATTTGGTTCTATTTAGTTAAGAGGTCCATTTCATGCTATCAAGGACACTTCCAGTTTTTCTTTAGTTTCATCAAAGGTTCATCAATACAAATGCTAAAATCTAGCATATCTCATGGAATGGATCAGCCAATAGCCTAAAATAAAAAGTCTAGATAGGAACACTTAAAGACCATCTCCAGAATAGTCACACAATAATTTGCAAGAAATAATACTGTCTATACTTTACTAAAGAAAATGACTTACGTAACAAATAGATATACGGTAAATAAACGAGCAGTGGAGCAATTGAAAAGATAGGTTATTGCTACTGTCAAAATTTGTTTCAAACAGTTTTCTGTCAACTTGTGAGCAGGAAAATGGCTTCAGAAAATTCAGTTAACTAAGACTACAGTGAATATTCAGTTTTCTATCAATTTAAATGGATCCATCTAATATTTGTAGTCCAAGTTTAAATGGGCTGCAGTCATGTCCAAGTTTAACTGAATTGATGGAGTCGAGCCTCGAGTATATTTTAGCCTTCATTGCACGCAGGGATCAACATTTTAGTGGCTTTTGAATGAACAGTTGCATGATCAGAATTCTGAAGGGAAATATGCAGTGATGGTGCTTACACTGGCTGGACTGAAGAGTGTGCGGACTAATCCGTGGTACAGGCCCAAGACATCGTAAGCCTGAAAAGATGAGTTCACCGTCAGTCATTCAGTGAGACCCAAGAACACCACCAACTTCTCTTCACTCACTAAAGCAGACTATGTATGTGGACTGATCATCAGAATTCTACTGAATTCTTGTAAAAATGTCTACTGAATTTTCTTGTTTGTGTGGAGTAATTTACAAGCAAGTCTAGAAAAATGCACTTGTTTGTGTGGAGTAATTTACAAGCAGGTCTAGAAATACGCCTTTCTCTAACATCACATTGCTAGCATAGATTACTCAACATCCACTGCCATTTAAAAAAACTTTACATGAAAGAAAATGAAAGGGGTTCAAAGTCTGCAGAGCAATTTGGCATTCGAGGACATCTTCAAGTCAAAAGAGAAGTAATGTACTGAAGTTCAGTCAATCTAAGGATAGCAATTAACTGTAAGTCAATCTCAGGATAGCATTCGCCTGCAAATATGTGTACACATACTCCTGCTTGAACAGCAACAGCACCACAGTGGCCTGTTTCAAAATTTCACTAATGGATAGAAAAAAAATTACTGCAAAAGAAGCACAAGCTTACCAGATCTCTATAGGAAGGTATCTGCTGAGGGAGCAACATGAGGTCAACATCTTCCCCTTTGCTAGCATATTGCTCACCATATCTCTTAGTGTCTAGTTGACCATCTTCATAATCAGGAGCACCAGTAAGAAAAGCAATTACCCTGCTGTTTTTATTTAAGAATAAACAGTTAGTAGTTAGACATAAAAATAGCAAGTACAAAAGCCTTTGCAAAATACACTATCCTTACAAACATAATTCCCTTCCTGACAAGAAGCATTTAAAAATTGTAGAAAGAGACGTGTTAACTTACCCTAAGCAAAAGTATAACCATACTCTAAACTCAAGCACGGTCAAAATTAGAGAAGACATGGTTGTTACAAAACCACGCCCACCAAGAAAAATTGTATCTGCTTCCTGCCCAGAAGCAGTTTGTAGAGTACTGTCAAAATTCAGAATGGTGACTGATTTTTTCAGTAAAGTTCATATGGGAAGGTAATAAATCAGTTTTGATTATATTGACAGAGTACATTGAACTCTGTCAACACAATTAGACATGAATAAGAACTCTGTCTAGACATCCAATTTTGTCATAAATAAGAACTCTGCCTAGACATGAATAAGAACTCTGTCTAGCATGGCCATTGACATGTTGATGGCACTTTCTTTGACAACTGAATTTTGACGGTAGTAAAAATGAAAAATTCAGACTTTACCCAATGCAGACTTGCAGAGCACTTGTGCACGAGTCCGATGAGCATGAGGAGGAGCCGTCGTCATCGATGGGCTAGACCTGCAGAGCCACAATATAATCCATGATTCACTACTGCGCAACAATGAGCAAATCTTATTGAACTTTGAGACAGTACTAATTTCAGAGTCAGAGTTCATGGGTGAATTTTGAGACAGTACAAATCTTACTAAAATGTTGGATTTGAGTCGCCTATGTGTACAAATCCATCAGTAAAAATCATCAGGACAAAGAAAGAAGATAACAGAATAGAGCATGCCACAGGAGGGGAGGGGAGGGAGGAGGGCGGGCCGGAAGAGGGAAGAGCGGCTGGTGCTGCCGGACTTGTGGACGAGCCCGTTGGAGCGGGAGCTGCTGGGCGACAAGGGCAAGCTCCTCCTCGGCCACAATCCGGTCCCCAAGAAGGAGGGGAGGGAGCATGCTGCGGCGTAGCTTCGACCGGCGGCTTTGGGTTGGGCGGGAGCGGCTGCTCCAGGGAGAGAGTCACAGCTGAGCGAGAGGGGATGGTCCGGGGAGGCAGGCGGCATCGCGGAGAGCAGATCGACGACGGTAAGGGACAGCTCCAGCTCGCCAAGCTCGGGGAAGGCCGCCGCCGCCGGAGAGCAGATCGAGAACAAAAATCGAGCCTTCTCCTTCCCGTGGTTCACCATGGGGAACGAGCAAGGGAACAAGGAGAGGGAAGCAACGTGATGGAGGTATGGGGCGAGGAAGCTCCGGCGACGCGCAGGGGAGCCGAGCAGGGGAGCTCCAGCGCGGGGGGAGCCGAGAGGGAGGGCTCCGGCACGCAGGGGAGACGAGTGAGGCTGCGAGGGAGACGACCAGGGACTGCGGGTTGTGTCGGGAATTCGCATAGGGGGTTTTCGCAAAAATGTCACTGCGACATGTTTTCCGGGACGGAGGGAGTATTTGTCTTTTTAGAGGTTTTAAATGATGACTACATACGAAGCAAAATGAGTGAATCTACACTCTAAAATATGTCTATATACATCCGTATGTGGTGACCATTTGAAATCTCTAGAAAGACAAATATTTAAGAACGGAGGGAATACGTATTAAACAAGAACCCATGTGGAAATTAAATGGTTGCGGATACAGCGGCTCATTTGGCAGGCACTGTTTTTTCAGATCTTTGCAAAATGTAAGTAGACTAAAAGAAATGTAAAACATAAGTAATAAAGTTATGTCCACATATTTGTGTGTTAAAAAATTATACATACTCTCGCAAAAAACATATTATATATATATATATATACGATGATTAGTAATAAAAACATTTCAATATAAACATGTGTATTATATATATAATATTTAGTAAAATGTAAGTAATAGTGTTATGGTCAAATATTTGTGTGTTAAAAATATTATACATACACGATGATTAGTAAATAAATATAAATCTTTGTATTATATGAAAAATATTTGGTAAAATATTTTATAAATCTGAGTATTATATAAATACATGTGTTTTATAAACGTGCGTACTACATATTTGTTTTTCAAAATTACAATTCAATAAACATATTTATTTGATAAACATTTTCGGTGTCAGTATTAACTAAATATTTTATATATAATACACAGGTTTATGTTTAAATGTTTTTGTTTACTAATCATCGTTTGTACGTATAGTATTTTTGACGCAAAAATATTTGCACATAAGTTTAATACTTATGTTTTACCAAATATTTTATATATAATACACAGGTGTATATTACTTACGTTGTACTAAATATTTTATATATAATACGCATGCCTATATTTAAATATTTTTATTTACTAATCATTATCTGTATATATAATATTGTTAACACACAAATATCTGAGCATAACTATATTACTTACATTTTACAGATATTTTTTAAAAATAGATTGCGCAAAAAGGGCCGCAGTATCCACAGACCAATTAAGGTCCACATGAGTCCTTCAGTACTTGTCAATATTTGTCATCTGGAGGTCAAACATCTCTTGAAAAAAATATCTGGAGGTTAAACATCTCTCGAAAAAATTTCTGGAGGTCAAACTACTATTGACTAGTCCGTCGCGCCTTAAACAATCCATCTCGGTTCGAATCCTGGCGCACCTTTTTGGTGTTTATTTTCACTTATTTACGTGCAAGACTGTTGCCAGATTTTTGTTGTAAATAAAAAGAAGTTAGGGGGTTCTGTGCAAAACATTTGTCACTGTGTTTGACTTTTTCCACAAATAGAAAAAAATATGAGGATGTTGTGTGTAAAAATATGACGCACCCGACGCTATCACTCACTGACAAATGGGGCCTATGTATGGATACACCAACATACATATATTATGACTGTATCAGCAGGCTTGAAACAAGTTGGATGATCATAAAATAGTATTTTTAAAGTTCTAGCACTAAATTGAATATAAGACGCAAATTCTATGACTCCCTGAGACCACAGGTTCACGACTGCAGGTCACCGTACAATAGAAGGTTGCATCGTCACCTACACCAAAGCAGGTCATCGAGGAATATTATTCCGCAGGCGATCGTGAAATGTGTGGATCTTTTGTGACAGTAGCATCAGGGCGTGTGTATGTGTTTAGACTTCAAGCTCCTAACACTCGACCCCTCTAGACCGTTGCGTTTCTTTGCAAAGCTTTTTAATGAAAGTGAACTCAATAGTCGGGAAATGCATTGGAGCTCCGGTGCCACACACCCAAATATGAATATAGCATTAAAAAATCAAGAAAATTTCAAAAAATTCTGATATTTTGAGATATCAAATCAATGTTCGGTTTCTTGGGGAATGGGTACCCGTGGTCAAGGAAATACGGTCCGACATATGATGCACTCAAACAGTTTTTCCTATACATACTCCCCCTGTCCGGTGAAGAATGTACATGTAGAAATTTTAGAACAAATTATGGAGTTAAGTAAAAAATGCATTGGAAGGGTGCAAGCCATCATCTCTCTTCTCTTTAATTACCCAACCTCCAATGAGCTAAGTGCATGTAGAAATTAAGAAAACCATGTGTAGATTGCTATTGGTCTTGATTACCATGTGATGAGAGAAAAGTATTTTTTCCTACTTTAAAGTGCATTGAAAAGATAAAACAACACTCTTTTGTGGACAAATTTTAAAGCTAGATGTACAACTCTTCACCGGACGAAGGAAATAGGTTTTTTTTTAACTTTTTTACCGAGATTACCACATGGAACCCATTCCTCACAAAACTAAACACGGGTGTACAATAGGCACCCAGGTTTGATGTCCCAAAATTTCATTTTTTTTTTAATTGCTGAGTATTTTTTTTAATGTTATATTCATATAAGGGTGTATGACATCCAAGAGCCAAGTGGCTAATAAGTTTGGACGGACAAGCCTAGCTCTTTCTGGACGAGGGTTACTAGTCTGGTTACTGTGAGCAAGTGCTTAGTTCAAGAAGTAAGGTACTTCCTCTGATCCATATTATCGGAGGGAGTACATAAGTTTGATTAAGCGTCCGGTTTCTCAAAAACTTTGCCATAGAACGCCTAGCAATTTACATCCCATTATCATTTCATAGCAATACATAGAAGTAAAAAGGGGATAAGATGAAGTGTTTAATAGAACAAGGGTGGGTACTCTACGTCAAATCGGTCGATCAAAGTGAGATCGGTCAAATCTCGCTCATACGTGAGCGCCATCCGATCTCTCTAGTGGTGTCCGCTTGATCCAACTCCACACCCTCTTTAAATACAACAGGGAGGAAATAGTCTGCGATCGCCTCGCGCGTTACGCAGCATGCGTTCCCTTCTAGATGCCAGCCGGCTCATCAGTCACCGTTGCTCGCTTGCCTCACTATCGATGCTCTCTGCCTCGTCATCATCGCTAGTCACAACTTTTCTGGTCATCAGTCGTAGCAGAGTCGCTCATCGGTAGCAGATTTTAATTATTGCCTCGGTTGTAACCTTCATAGTGCCACCATCGCCGGCCGCATCACCACTCCTCGTTGGTGCCAGCTCCCACGCGGCCTTCTCGTCGCCTAGTTGTAGCAACTCGCCTCACCGGTCCTAGGAATGTGCATCCCTGGTCGCAGCATATCGCCTTGCGGGGTCCTAGCCATATGCGTAGCCGGTAGAAGCACCGCGCCTCATCGATCTCAAGAACGCGCCTCGCCGGTCCCCAACAACGTGCTTCGCCGGTTGCAGCACCGCGTTGCATCCTCTACCGATGGTTCTAGAATTACACCTCGCAAGTTCCGGCACCTCGCCTCGTTGGTTCCAGCACGCGGCCGCTGTGTTCGCAATGTGTGGTATGTTGTTGCTGCTCCCGGTTGCCGCCATTGTAGCATACGGACACCGCCGCCGCAAAGCGTGGTTCGCGCCCCGTGGGAGAGGACCGCTACGACAATGACTATCGAGGATGTTTTGTTGATCCTAACAACGGTGCTAGGGGGAGTACATGGAATTTGTAATTGAGGGATGCCACGTTAGGAGTCTATGGGGTCTTGGAAACAGATCACATGATGTGACGCCCCCGATTTAATCGTACACTAATCATGCACGCAAATGTGTACGATCAAGATCAGGGACTCACGGGAAGATATCACAACACAACTCTACAAATAAAATAAGTCATACAAGCATCATAATACAAGCCAGGGGCCTCGAGGGCTC